AAAATAGGTCAACACCCTGACATCTAATGGTAAAACTTACGAGTCTCAGAGACAAAGAGAAAATCCTGAAAGCAGCTCAGGAGAAGAGATCTGTAATCTACAATGGTAGAAACATTTGATTGGCAACAGACCTATCCACAGAGACCTGGCAGGCCAAAAAAAGGACTGGCATGACATATTCAGAGCACTAAATGAGAAAAATATGCAGCCAAGAATACTATAACCAGCTAGGCTGTCATTGAAAATAGAGAAAAAGCTTCCAGGACAGGCACGGCCTGGCTTGGACCAGGCGGCGGCTCGCAGAGGTGCTTTCCCGAGTGTGAGGCACGGACTCTCCTCTCCGCCGCGCTCCCCCAACTTCACCTCCGCCTCCCTCGCTCCCTCAGTGTACCGAGCGGCCCAGCGGCCGGGGCGGAGGCCTGGGGCGACGCGGCGTCGAGAGAGCGGGCGGGCTTCTGAGCGGCGGGAGGCCCGGGTCCACAGCCGGTCGGTGCTCGGCGGGCGGTCTATATGGTGGCGGCTCTGTCGGGCCTGGCTGTCCGACTTTCGTGCTCGGCCGCCCCCCGCTCCTATGGTGTCTTCTGTAAGGGGCTGACCCACACGCTGCTCATCTTTTTGGACCTGGCCTGGCAGCTGCGCATCAACTTCCCCTACCTCTACATCGTGGCTTCCATGATGCTTAACCTCCGCTAACGGCCACCACACGGCAGCCAAGGAATTAATCGGAAATGCAGATCCAGCCAACGTATCCCAGCCGAACGTCCCTCAGTGGCTCTGCATTGCCTGCTGTTGGAGGCCACGCTCCTTACACCGTGACCAGTGCCTCTCGTCAGCCCTGGTTGGCTTCATGCCCCCTCACTTTGCTCTTTTTGCTTCTACTTCAGCCTCCAGTAATTCTTGTTTCTTTTCTTCCCAGTGTACTCTCTTTACATTTTTTAAAAATGTAACACACTTACACACTCACCTAGCTAGGTCCCCTGGTTAGAGAAACTGCAGCTTCCTGCCCCCCGTTTCTCTGTCCCCATAGCCAAGCCTCTCAGCTACAGCTGCTTCTCCTTGTGCATATTTCTCTGTCTCTGAATCGCACGCTTGTTGCTTCCTGACTCTTCACTCTTAGGCTTCGTCTTTGTCTCACTGTGGGAGATGGGCTGTCCGCTCTCAGGTTGCTTCTGCCTCACATCCCACGTTTCCATCCCTCCTTTCTCCCAGCAGAGTTGTGTGTTTTCATTAGATTATTCTTCTTTAGTCTGGCCTCTTAGAAAAATTTCTAAATACAGTTTATGTATTTATTTTCCATGTATTAATGCTCTGGGGTTATGGTTGTTTTTTAAAGGACCATGGGTCACCTTTTTTTTTTAATTCCTCAATTAATGAAGGAACTAGTGAGATGTTATAATCAGCTTAAAAGAGAATTTAGACAAAACATGCACGTACATGTAATCAGGACCACCAAAGTGAGGTACAAATGGATGTAAGAAATGGTCAGTATCCACAGGGTAATAATTGCATTCCTCTAAACAAAATTTTTAATTTCTTTGGATAAGAAATCTTTTGCCTTGGGGGCACCTGGGTGGCTCAGTTGGTTAAGCGTCTGCCTTTGGCTCAAGTCCTCAAGTCCCTTCACAGGGTCCTGGGATCGAGCGCCGAGTCGGGCTCCCTGCTCCGCGGGGAGTCTGCTTCTCCTCTGCCTCTGCCTGCCTGTCTGTCTACTTGTGATCTCTCTTTCTGTCAAATAAATAAAATCTTTAAAAAAATACACAAAAAGAAGCATAAATTAAAAATATTTTGCCTTCCTCTCACATTTTTTACAACTCACATTCGTACAGCAGCTCAGACAGGTGCAGGGCCCCATAAACTTAGGTAACACAAGGACGCACTGGACAGCACGCCCAGTCAGCTTGTTGTTTGCCTGTCTCAAGGCCCTTTCACAGCCTTTCCTGACATATCTTCCCCATTGGGGGCATAACTATGGCAAAGAAAGATAATTCTTGGGTCACGGGAAAAGGCTGGTCCCATTAGGGTTGCAGGTGCAACAAGAGTGTTAACCATATGAGTCACCTTGAGTTTGCTCTTGAACAACCGCTGAGGTCACAAATCAACTTCTGTCCTGAAGTTTTCACACAGAATCTCGGACTGGGCGAGTCTGAGAGTGGGGAGTTTCATATTGAGATCCATTGAAGGCCTTCCGCTGACTGACAGAGGCGTGTCGTCAGGCTCACCACATCAGAGAACACACAGCATGAGGGACAGAGTGGGAGCTCTGGGCACCTGCCTCAGGAAGGTGAAGGGGGCGGGAGAGGACTCAGGCTGCTGTATGGACTTGAAAGAGCACAGGGAGTGAGCCTTTGCCCGACAGATACACCTTCCTCCTCCTGTATGCAAATACCTGCGGTTGATGTGGATGGAAATCACAAAACGAGGAGTTGTCAATGGAAATGAAAAATGCTCCGAGCGAGGCCAGCCTCTTCCTTCACAGCGGCAACAAAGCGCTTCTGTGTCTGAAAGAATCATTAAGAAGAAATTCAGCTTCCATAGTGGGTCAGAGCAAGACTGTGCATGTGTTCTGTGCTCTTGCAGAAGAGCGTTTTGCTGGGGTGTCCTGCGGAGTGGGGGATGCTCTGGTGAGGGACTGGCTGGGAGGAGGGCCCAGGGCCACTGACAGCCACAGAGGATGGTGCCGCCCAGGAGAGCCTTGGGCGTCAGGACTACCGTGCTCTCAGAAGCAATCAGAAATGGGGATTTTGGAGGAGGAACTGCCAAGTGCTCTTTTAGAGGGGCTAGGCTTTGAGTTGGAACTGTCTGGCCTGCATTTCGTCCTGTCTACACTGCTGCACGCACGCCCCAAAGTTTTCCTGAATGATGAGACAAAATGTGTTTTCCTTGGCCAACCAGAGCCCCTGTTTTCAGAGCAAATGGTAGAATACAAGAAAATGCTTTCAAGTATAAAAAGTACCTCAAACGATCTGCAAATAATACTGGGGTTACTGGCTCTACCAGCTTTTGAAGTAGCAAATCTGCTACGCCATAGTTAGGTACAAGCCGAACAATAAAAATAGTGAAATTAGAAAAAAAAAAAAAAGCTTCCAGGACAAACAAAAACTAATGGAATTTGCAAACACGAAAACAGCCCTACAAGAAATATTGAAAGGGGTCCTCTAAGCAAAGACAGAGCCTAAAAGCAACACAGACCAGAAAGGAACACAGACAATATACAGTAACAATCACCTTACAGGCAATACAATGGCACTAAATTCATATCTTTCAATATTTACCCTGAATGTAAATGGGCTAAATGCCCCAATCAAAAGACACAGGCTATCAGAATGGATTAAAAAACAAGACCCATTGATATGCTGTCTGCAAGAGACTCATTTTAGACCCAAAGACACGCCCAGATTGAAAGTGAAGGGGTGGAAAACCATTTACCATGCTAATGGACACCAAAAGAAAGCTGAGGTGGAAATCCTCATATCAGACAAATTAGATTTTAAACCAAAAGCTGTAATAAGAGATGAGGAAGGACACTATATCCTACCTAAAGGGTCTATCCAATAAGAAGATCTAACAATTGTAAATATCTATGCCCCTAACAGGGGAGCAGCCAATTATATAAGGCAATTAATAATAAAAACAAAGAAACACATCGACAACAATACAATAATAGTGGGGGACTTTAACACAGCCCTGACCGAAAAGCACAGATCATCTAAGCAAAAGATCAACAAGGAAATAAAGACTTTAAATGACACACTGGACCAAATCGACTTCACAGATAGATTCAGAACATTCCATCCCAAAGCAACAGAATACACATTCTTCTCTAGTGCTCATGGAACATTCTCTAGAAGAGATCACATCCTAGGTCACAAATCAGGTCTCAACC